AGCTGAGATTTGTCAATCAGCTACAACATTAAGCAGAAAAAAGTGTTTGGGAACTCCCCCCTCAAACCGCATAAATATTTTGAACGCACTGTTTACGCTTTGACCGAAATGCAAATTAGTTTTGTTCCTAAATCGTAACCATTTGAAAATAACCTAATGGCAGCACTAATGAAGGACGCAATTAATGCAGAATCTTGTGCTAAAGACTGGAAGTTTCCACCCGGTCGGTTTTGGAGGGAAAATAAATTTTGGAAACGATTTCTCCCGCGGAATCTGGTCTTGAGGACGCGCCTGATGAATATACGACAAGAAGTGTGTCTAGGTCGAGAGGTGGTCCTACACAATAATGCCTTGGGCTATCTGACCAATCATCGGTGAATTAATTACTAATTACCTATGTTACTAATAAATGAGAGGAAATTCAATTATATAAGATGTTCCCTTTTGCGAATCTTAATAATCGCCAAAATAATTTTAACGAATAAAAAAACGATCATCCATGGTTTTATCTATGTTTTAGCCGTGGAGTATTTTCTCTACTTCACAGAACTCCATAGAATAAACTAATTGGCGAATTATATTTTTTATAAGATCGTTAACAATGCAATTTGGCATTAGAATAAATTGTATGAGTTGGACTGTGTCAATTAATTGATCGAACCTTCAAACGTGTGATGGATAGTACACCAGTCCATCAACGTTCAATCAGATAAACATATCGATATGGTGAGAAAATGCTTCAACATAACAATTTTATAATTTAGTGAGCTCTTAGAAAACAATAATCATTTATTCCCGAGAATGTAATCACCGAAAGACAATTGAAGATTAGAGGTATGGACAAAGGTTTTGTCCGTAATACATTTGTTGTTGGGTGGTAAAATTAGCGTAGCGGAGTATTCAATTGAAGTTGTATGTTTGATAGTGAAGTCGGTAGCGAGTTTGTTTCATTGCCTGCACAATTGAAGACGCAACAGTGATGCATCCACGATTGCAGTTGCATATATGCTATTGTCCGGCGTCGTAACTATTTTGTTTGTACAGTAATGGTAGTAGCCTACTTGTTTTTTAATAGAATATTCTCGTATTATTTAACGTTTATTGTCGTATTTGAATTGAATTCATCACTGCCCTCGTTTGCTAGTAGACTTGTTATCTTAATAATATGACTCCTGTTTTGACGTGTGGGTCATGTCTATTTACGTTTGTCTACCATTTTGTCGATCTATGTTGGATCAAGTGTACATTTGTTGCTAACCAACATAGGTTTATTCCTAATTCAACCAAGAATCGTGGTTACATACATTATCTCATATTTTATTTCATATCAAAGATGAGAAGAATGCTATAAAGTAAAGATTCTGAAATAAAACGTTTACTGAGTAGATGTTCCGGCTGACATATTGGACCCGTTGTAACTTGATATGTCCAACATGATGTCAACTACTGCTCGCTCTGTGTTTAGGTGGCTAGTTGTCTGTTTATGGAATTTCTTTATAATTTAATTTTCATGCAAATTGTGTGACCTAGATTGGGAGTTTGAATTTATTTGTTAATTTGTGCATTGCTAATCATCTTTACAACCAAAGCCTGTATGCAGTTTTTGGATTTATAATAGACTTGTAACTTAACCGTGCTTCGCAACGGGCATAGAAAAATATACTACTGTATCCCGCGTTTGATTATAGAAACTCAATTGTATCAATTTTTTTAAATTGAAGCTTTGGTTTTACTCAACAAGATTTAAAAATAAAATTGATTACACCGTCACAATGTGGAAAATAAAGTAAACAAAGCAAGTAAATGTTGTGGGATTTTTTTGCATTCAAGGCAAAATGATGAGATCCATTTGCCTTATCTCGAAACTTAGTTGACCCAGATGGTAGTGCCACAGACTTGTCTTGTGTGTGGTAGTGCCCTAGCATTCATTAAGGTTCATTAAAACGAGTTCGGGCCTAATTAATCTTATAATATTTTTACTTTTGTTTAAACTTGAGTGCAGTCAGGAATGAAACGCTCCAAATGAGCATTATTGAAATAAATCCTACTTCTTCGATTTACGTTCATTGTTGGTGATGGTGAGTTAATGTTGTTCAAACGTTGTGTTTTGTTTTTTACCATCGTGATGGAAATTGTCCGCAATAAACCTTTGAAATCCTACTTATCCACAGCGTCCTTCCGTAGTTGTATATGAAATCATAAATCATTTATTTGGCCAGATTTACATGAATGCATTGGCTAAGTCAATATACTATGGCTATCCACATTCGCCAATATCAGCTATTTATTGTTGAGTGATCTGATTTTCCAGCCTGTGCATACAGACACAGACCTGCGGTATAGCCTACTATAGTGTTGTTACTTCCGTATCGTTTCTCTGCACTCGACTTAAGTAATCGCGAACGTTCGTGTTTTCTTCACCATTGACAGGCGTCGTGTCGTGGCATAAACGTGGTCGGGCCCGCCACACCTGCAGTGACGTCATCTCTACTAGTGACATCACCGCTATATTTAGACACATACGTCATCTGGCTCACTCTATAGTTTGGCCCGCCACCAGAATGTTAGGTCATGCCTCGGCCTCACAAAGTATACATTCCTTTCTGTTGGTCATTTCAATTTGGAATCCAGAGATGAAACTATTTTAAACTTATAAATGATTGTAAAAGTCAGAGTGATTCGTGACTAGTTGTCTAGCTAAAGTTGATATTATGTGCGCTTGATTACTGTTTGATTAGGCAATCGTTAGAAGGGAATGTTTGATAAACAATTTCTGTCTTTGTAATTTTGTTTGGTGTAGTTAGGAGGTGAACACATAAAAAGTCCCTGCCTGTAGCCTTTGAGCCAAGGGGTAGGGATTTTGCTAAATTTTTGAAACTACATACTAGTGAGGAATGACTGTAATATGCAAAATGAAAGCTAATTAAATTTACAAGTTTTGTTTGACAACAATAAGTATATTACCTGCTTTTAATGTGTGTTCACATTAAAATGGAATTTATGTAGGTCTGCGTTTAGTGTTTTGTATTGCACATATAATTTTAGAATTAGGATCAACAGGTTAGTAAGAGGGTGGGACTCCCCTGGTAGTCTGGGTTCAAATCCGAACAATCAATAGGCGTAAATTGCCTAGATCTTGAAACAAGCAGAGAATATTTTTTTCTGTATCAAGTTCATTACCTTAGTATCTCATTATAATATGGTTCTGCACTCATAATATTTATTGTATATAGGCTATGTCAATATTGTTGACCTACCATTGCCTTCTTATATAAACATTTGACATCTTCATTTATTGTTTACAATTTTCTGAAGTTGCAATTCAAAACTTAACTTAACAATGCAATATAAAAAAGGTTTCTAGGTCCAATTCCCCATTTAGGTTTTTAACTCTGGACAGATCAAAAACAAATTACTATGTTTAAAGGCTTATTTTGGTGTTTTTCGTTCTGTATGTGGACACATGATTGTGTAGAAAGCCTGAGTCAAAGGTCTCTCACAGATATAGCTAAATCTTTATCTTGACATTGATTAGTAACATTACATTATTGACAAGTAAACTAATTATTGTGTGACCACCAATTTGACTAGCTCTCTATTGTTAAGTGTCCATGTGAAATGGTTCATTATGAACATGACTCACTTGTCACTTATATCATAGGGGTCATTAGACATGGCCTTGGACACAGAAAACGTACTACTATAACCCAGAATGCCAACCGCATGGTAAAAAGCATTAAGCGGTTTGAGAGAGCTCTGCCTGTCAATCGGTAGGCAGCGCCACCAGCGCTGCTATGCTATTGCATGGCAACGCTGGTGGCGCTGCCTACGGATTGACAGGCAAAGCTCTCTCAAACCGCTTAATGCTTTTTACCATGCGGTTGGCATTCTGGGTTATAGTAGTACGTTTTCTGTGCCTTGGAAGACAAAACTCTACTATTGTGTTATCAGAAACTGCATTAATCAGCATTAACAATTCTTTTAGGGAATTTTCTTGTATGGGGATGATGTTATTGTTTAACATGAATTCACTATCATAAATAATTCTAATTCATCCCACCAAATTTGTAGTGAAAATATTTGGTGTGATGATTTAGAATTTGTTTTTATTTTGTTAATAACATTCTATCTCTACAGTATGGTAAAAACAAGTAAATGGAAGTTGTAGTTTAAATCTATAGCCTAACATAAATATTATACACATAAAATATATAATATGAGTAAATATTGATATTGCAATATAAACAATTATGACCAAATTGCATCTCCAAGTCAATAATGGCATGATTTTGATAAAATTTTGTACAAACAAGTAAACTTGTGTTTATTCAACAAGTTGGCAAACCAGCATGACCAGACTATGAGAACGGGATTTTTTGTTAAAATAGTTTTTTCTCTATTTTTTATCCCAAAATATGACATTTTGCAATTTCTCTCTATACCATTTTGTAGAGCTTAAAACTCCTGAAGCAGTTCAATGGTTACTGGGACAAAAAACCCTGAAAATTTAAATTTCCATGTTATTCAATATAAGTAAGTAAACTACCATGCATTGAAGTTTTCTTGTTCTTGGTTGTAGTTTCATCAATTTATTTTATTTAATACTAAGCTATCCTAAACACATACATTAACTTACCTCCTCTGTAGCAGCAATCTTAATTGCTCTCAAAGTTTGTTGTTATTGTGCTAAGGGAATAATTCTGATTTTTTAAAATTAAACTCAAAATGTTGTAGTTTGCTTGTTTATGGATATATTTTGATCAAACTTGGCAAATTTATTTACCGTATATTAAACTATTAATATTTTCCTAAAAACACACTTTATTAGTTTCCTTGTAGCAGCAAACCTAGCTACTCGTTAAACCTAATGTTATTTAAATTAAGACAATTCAGACAAATGGAAATTCGCTTAGTCGGCAGGTTTGCTGTGGCGGGAGTACTTTTTATTTATAACTCTTAATTGTTTCAATTAGTTGCTCAACTCAGTGTTTGTTTACCAGGTTGGACAAGAAGACACAAGATCTGTTGTTGGCCGAGTCCAACATTTCCAGCTTGGAGGCGAGAGTGGCTGATCTGCAGAAGGGATACAACCAGGCTCAGTCTGATCGTAAAAAGTTTGCTGACGAAAATAAGGTGAGGTTCTGACTCAAGTCATCGATTTTGACGTTGTAAGAAATGTTTTGAATGTTTAGTATTTTTCCTAGCACATCAGTGGATAGTAGACTTTTTACCAGTTTGTAAAGTAGGCCTATTAAAAACAATATTATTCATGAATCTTGATGTGCTACAAACATGCAAAGGATTATTTAGGATCACATTTAAAGCATGCAAATAGAGAAATGTAATGGAAACCATACTGTATGAAGGTACTAACAAGATAAAACAGTCACTTTGGATATACAATAGTATATTTCATTACTAGGACCGAAAGTGGTATTTTCCGTTGCACGCTTAAGATTTTGTGTGAGGCAAAGCCGAACACAGGGAACCCAAATTTCAGGTGCGAGGCGAAGCCGAGGATGGGAACAATGAAGCAAGTGCTGGATAATAACTTTCGGTACGAGTTATGAACGATACTTTTCATTTTGTTGACCTGTATTTACTAACTACCTTCTTAGAAAATGGTTCCATCTTGATAATAATGATTTCAAATAAGTTCAAATTGTGTTACGTTTCTTTTCAGAAACTGACCAAGGAGAATCAGTCACTGTCTATGCAGTTGAAGGAGAGCAAGAAGACTGCTGAGGAGGAGATTCTGAAGCGTGTTGAGGCTGAGAATCTTCTGCAGACTACTCGAGAGGAGCTCGACTTTAAGGAGAAGGTAAACACCTGATCAGCCCAGGTCTTGTCGAACATGAGGGATTACTGCAGAAAATCTTAAATAATAAAAAAACCAGTTTTCACAAAGTTGTGTAATCTAAAAATGTGGAGTATTTAAAAGGTAACAATATTAGTACACAAGCAGTTAGAGAATCACAAAAAACCATAGGGAGAACTCTAAAGTAACCTAGTTAAAAACAACACAACAAAACATAGAAAACTGATCTAAGCTCGAAGATTGAATTTATTGTTTCGTTTCTATCTATGACAGGGGCATGTTTTAATACAGTCAAGTCTCGATAACTTGAACCTCAATAAGTCAAATTCCTTGTTCCCTTGAGAAAATCTGTCTAAGTAAAAAAAACCATACGTAACTCGAATTAATTTTGCACCCGAATTTTACCTCAATAACTCTAAGTGATAGAAAATTTACCTCTATGACTCAAAGTTCAGTAGGCAAGTCGAAGTCTTTAAATACATTACCTCTATAACTCGAAATTTTCAGATTAACCCTCGCTAACCCGAAACTGTGATGTGTTTACAGCGAACCTGTGTTTGGTCCATAGACCTAGCCAAACAGGTCTGGACATGTCGCTGAATTGTCCGACTGTCTGCTAAAAATAGTTTATTTGTACCTCTATAACTCAAATTTTATTTTGTTTACCTCTGTAAGTTGAATTACCACTGTAAGTCGAATTCAGTGAAATAATTCTTCTATAACTCGAACTATTCTTAAGTAGAACTATAACTACGTAACTACAGAACTACGTAGAACTACGTAACTCAAAGAAAACAGCCGTTCTCTTGAAATTCGAGTTATCGAGAGTCGACTGTATAAGGGAATGGACCAAACGCTGGTTTTTTACTATCTAACGACCTGTTGTTAAAAAGCATTATAGAAAGCCCAATGGTATATTAGTCTGATAACACTCTTGTTTAGAATTGAACTAGCAAACTTCAGTTTTGAAAGCGAGAGCACTATAATAAATTCAATAACTTTTTAAATTTTTGTCTTGAAATTTGCAGATTGAAACTTGTAACCAAAACTTGTACAAAGTTTTGATTGTTCTCAGATTTGGTTTTGACACACCACTAATAGCTGGTCCCTACATTTAGGGTGTCTCCAGTATCCAAAAGTCAATACTACCAGGTTATTGGGTGACCAACACTCACTAGTAACGCTAATTTATTTCACAGTTTTGTACAGTTTTGTATAGTGTGATTGTTTTACAGTTGTACAGACAAGAGCTGCTGGAGACTCGCACCAAACAGAAGGTAGAGATCAGTGAGATTGATGGACGTCTCAACCAGGAGTACGAGGAGAAGCTGTACTCCATGTTGCAGGAAGTGCGAGCTCAGTTTGAGGATGAACTCAACCGTACTAAGTCTGAGACCAGCTCGATGTACGAGGACAAGGTGGGTGCATACAAAGTTGTCTTCTAATTGTTTGATTTTTAGCGAATTTCCCATATAGGGACTCGTGAACTAAAACTTTTAATTTTTAATAACCGTCTCCATTTGAGTGTTCATTTGGCGTTTCGTTGGTAAGCTTATTACATCGTTATGTCAAATAAGAACTATGATCATAGGAAGTGATGACAATATAGTTATGGTAACGGGGGACGATTAAAGATGCTGCAAAGACACTGAAGTTGATGTCCACAGATTATGCCACAATCCCATAGCCATTATAGTAAGACCATGCCGTCAAATAGTTCCTATCCGTACTAAAGTACTGGTACTGACATTTTCACATCGTTTATGGATAGGCCTATCAGTAATGTTAAGTAACCAATCATTAAATGTAGGTCAGATGATCAGAGTCACAAACTCCATATGGCCAACAAAAGGCAACAATACATTTTATAAAAGTATACATTACCTCGTCTATTGCTGCCTTCTTACACTTCTCATCATTCTTGTATCATCATTCATTTGAAAGTTTTTCTTTTCTTTCATATTGTTTTATGTTTTCTTCTTTCATTGTTCAAATGAATTCAAACCTTTAAATTAGTGTTTTTGTGTGAGAATATTACATTGATTACATCTAAAATTTTAAAGATTATACAATTCAAGATCATCCAAGAACTTGATTGTGACGTAAGCTTGTATGTAAACAAAATTAACTAGTCTCTTCTAATTCATTCAAAACAAAAATTGCTCACTTATTATTTTTGTCTTACTGGCATACACAAGTAATTTTTCCAAGAACCGGTGGTACTGAGAAAAATCTTCACGTATCAACACATCACCAAAAAGCAACCAACTACGGTGGATGGTTGACTGGGTGCCAGTTAAGATCTAGGAGGATTAAACATTAAGGAGAGGACACGCTGTAGTTTCGTTGAAGCCAGCGTACTGGTGAGGGGGGAGGCAGCGCTACTCTCCCGCTCCCCCTCTCATACTGCGTTGTATGGGTTACTGGGAGTGGGAGATTTGGTAACAGAAATATCAATTAACTATTTAAAACTTAGACTACATCATGCTAAGAAAATTAAAAACTTTAATTCTAACCATAATATTAGAATATAAAATAAGTTTTAATCCTTTAAAAGAATGATAAACGCACTTTGGCGTCAGAAGACGCGATGATTGTTGAACATTTTACACTTTTTACTTGAAGTTTCTTTGGGCAAACAGATCAAATATAGCTCAATATGATATTAAAAAATCTAGAATTTGATTGCCAAGAATTTGTTTTATTTTTTATGTTTGTAATTTAATTGTAAACGGCTGTTGGTGTAAAAAAAGTTAGAGCGGCTTTACATTTTTTCTTAACTTTAGCTATTTAAAATCACCTGTCTAGCACATAAATCGCTTAAAACTAGTAAAACATGGTATTAACAAATCGAGAGAACTATGAAAAATGAAAACTTAAAATGTGAATCACCACCCAAATTAAATTTTTCATTTTAACCTATAATTAGTAAGATTGTTTTATAAACTGGAAAAATTAAAAAAGATATTGTTATTATTTTTCTAAATACCACTCATAAATATAGGTAAATATATATTTTTTATTTCGCAAAACTATTAAGGAATACGAATAAATTGTTAATTTGTATAGATACATTATATTTTTTTCAAAAACGTCATTAAAGTAATGATATGTTCAAAGTCCAGGCCAATTCTTTCAACTTTGATCTTCAGTAATAAATAATAAACAATAGTTTTTATAGAAATGATTGACACCGTTCGATAGGAAATTTAATTTACTTTAAGAATGCCATCGGTGAATAACACAGGTGTTTTAGTTTGGCGACAATTTTAATTCGAAACAGCGCGCATCACGTTTTTCCCTATCTCTCCCATGTTATACCCACGGCTTTTTGCCACTCTACGGCTCCGCGTGCCCCTCTAGTGTTCTGCTAAAGCTGGCTTCACCGCAACATGTGTATTCCTATTCGCGTGCCCTCTCCTTAATGTTTAATCCTCCTAGGTTAAGATAGGGTCTATTGTAAAAACATAAAAAACCAATATATAGAAATAATGTACATTAAAAACGCTTTTGATGCTTTAAAATATTTAAAATTGTCGGAAACTGCTGTATATGTGCCTAATTCAATTTACTGTATATAACAATGAGTTTGAAATTCATAATGTGTCACTTGCAGATTACCAACTTGGAGCGTCAACTGAGCCGTAACAGCAATGCAGCAGCCAACGCTATGGAGGAGATGCGCAAGATGACCTCACGTCAGGAGGAGTGGCAACGCAAGTTCTCTGATTTGGAAGCCACCAACTCGGCCCTCTCTGTGAGTTGACTAGAGATGGGGAATCATATCACTTTGCAATAGTAGTCGAGTATATTCCTTGGCTTTTCAGACGTAGGTGAACGTAGGTTCAGTAGAACTTGGATTATTCGAATAAATTGGGAGCGATAGCGCACCACATTCGGATAACCATTCAAATAATCATATTTTTACAGAATGTGGGGCAACATATAATTATTAAAAGAAGAGGCTACTTCATATGACACTGTATGCGTTTTTTATTGTTTGTGAATAACAAGAGAACGTTTAAAAAAATTATGTTATGTATCTGTAAAAAAGTAAAACACTGTTCAAGTGATCTATAAGTTGTTTAGTAGAGGTGTACGAGAAGATCAATACGAGCCTAGCATCAAAAACCAAATAAAAAGATCAAGCTTGAATGATGATGTCTACGCGAATGGGAGAGTTGTTAAGGATTTTCCCATGATCACAGCTTCTGTCTTCTTTATTAGCGATGCTTATTACTGTAATTTAAATTTAAAATTCTTTCTGTCAGCGATTCAGATAATCTGCCATTTGGATAGTTGGAGTTTGGATACCGTTATTTATCAGAGATAGAATGGATGGTTAATCACCTTACTTCATCATCCAGTACCTGTCAGCCTGTGGCTTTTAATAGGAAGACAGGATTATCAATTATTATCATCATAGAAAACTATTTTTTCATGACCTTAGGTGATGATAATGAAAATCATCACTATATTAAGGATTAGGCCCATTATTTTTGTAATACTGAACTTTGAACAATTAGAAAAATACAAATGTGATGTGAGAACAAAGTCAAGTTGTAGGCATTTAATTGATTATAGTTTTTGGGAAACTAAACATTCACGTGGGAAATAATATAATGCCTAAACTGCCTACAGTCAGGCATCCGATGAATGCCTGAATCTGTAGGGTCTATCAATAACAATAACACAATTTCTGGGGTGCGCAATAATTAATTTTTCAGATGAAGTGCTTTATGGTTTTGGCCTGCCCCTGTTAGATTAGATTAATTTAATGTTCACATGAGAAACTTCACGCGGAAACCTGGGAAAACTTAGTAAGACCAGTAAAAAACCTGGAATTTCACTTAAAAAATAGTATACACCCTGTCTCGTAAGCAAGGGGCAGTAGGATGTAAACAAATTGACAAATCACAAAAAATCACTGTCTCCAGTCACCCTTTCAAGGACATAGATCTCTCCCCTTATACCCTCCCGATACGTTTGCAATCAAATGCTCCAATAGCAGAACAAATATTGTTACACAACATGAAAGCAGAGATGTTTATTTGATCAAAAACAGAAAACCGATAAATATTATTTTCAAAGAAAATAATTCACAATAGTTTGTGTCTTGTAAATATTTCATTTGATATTAAAGTCTGTATTCTTTGTATCCATTGTGATTGCTGTCAAAAACAACACTAAACTAATTTTTTAATAAATTTTAATTACCTTCACCTTCATCATAGTATTTATTTATTTATTTTTCCAACGGCTGACACCAATACATATGATTATTAAGATTATGATACAATTTAAAAGAAATAACAAGATGCAAAATGTAAAACAATTCAGGTCAGTAACAAGCTACGAGATAACAATAATTGAACAATAAATACAAATACAACAATAAATAGCAACAATAAATACAAGTTGACAAACAGGAATAAGTTCACAAAAACGATTTCTAATTCAAGAAAATTATTAGATAATGAATTTGGGTACAAAAACAAAAACAAAAATTATGCATGAAACAAAACAAGTAAGCAACAAACCAAACATAACAGAAAATATGCGAGCCATACTCCCGTGATTATTTAACAAAACTAGAAAGGGCAGTTGAGAAATTTGTGTAAACAAAGGGCAGGCACAAAACACAGAAAGATCTTCACTTCACCACTTCGAAATCACCACACTTTTCCTGAAAGAAGCCAGCGACATATTAAAAAGGTTAATATCATCAGGTAGAGCATTGACAAGACGTTGGGCTCTGGGCAATGGGCTGAAGAGATGATAGTTGGTGCTAAGATGCTCACGAGAGAAGAGGCCCTTGGATCTTGAAGATCTACCTGCCCTGAAGTTCAGTAGGCCTACTGTTTTGTATTTTAATACACTTTCCTATTCAATAGTATTTTGTGGATTTACTGTGATTTTACTTGTCCGGGAAACCCCAACCCTACTTAATCCCCGGTTAATCGGGACCCGTCCATCCCTAATGTAAACTCTCAAATCCCATCAGTCTAATGTTTCTTGGCACCCTTTTCTGTTGTTGGCTACAGACTGTGCGGTCGGTTTACCTGAAATATTATTGTCTGCAGGCACAAGTGAGAGAGTTAGAGAAGCAGTTGGAGAGTGATCGTAACCGTCACATGGCAGAGATAAGTCGTCAGGAGAGAGAGTTGGCTCGGCTACACGATGACATGCAGATACGCATGCAGGAGTATCAGGACCTCATGGACATCAAGGTACAACTGGACATGGAGATTGCAGCCTACAGGAAACTGTTGGAGAGTGAGGAGGAGCGGTGAGTACCTTTTAGTTATTACGATTTTTGTCCGTAAATTAAGGTCTCCGATTTTTGTCCGTAAATTAGGTCTCCATTAAGCTCTTATCGTAGCCATACACAAGGCAAAGGAACACGTTGTTCCTTACTTCATGCAGTATTATTATAGCTCATCTCCGCCCTTAGGATGATCAGTCTTGTCTAAGTATTAAAAACGTTGAGTAAGAAAATTCACGCTCTCGCCATGCACGAATCGTGTTTTCTGAATATTTTTCTGTAAAAGTGGATCAATCACTGAAGATTACTGTTGCTACTTGCTAGTTAACAGACGTGTATACAGAACATTGTTTTGAGATGGAAAATATCCATAATTGACCTAATGAAGTCACAGAAGGCCTTAACATGTGCTACAGGGGCCGGCAGCCAGGTGTCCATCAGTTTGCATCGAGACTGTGATAGAATTTAAGAAAGCTTCGCTTGCCAATCGATGTTTTGTACACTCCAGGTTCAATCTTACTGTGATTCTAATGCAAAATTCTCTCAACTTTGGTCACTGCATCAAATTAGACGGTTGAATGACAGAGCTAACCCATAGAAAACATCATGCATTTTAAAGACCGCCTTCAAACTCCCTCCACTTTTTGCTCATTCTATGTTCAAACACTACGCCTTTTATCAATGGACTTCATTGGCGGTTGACACTGGACCACAGAAATATATTCACATTTATTTCAGTTTTATTTAATAAAGTGTGGTTGATCTAGCACAGACAGACAAGGCTGAAGCGTGTATTGTAGGCTACCTACGATGTAGAAATCAACTATCATCTCGTACTAAGTCAGTCTGTGGTTGGGGGGAACCTTATCGCTGATACTTCTATGTTTCTTTGTAAATTGATAGTTTCTGCTACCTACAAGTCCAGGACGGTTCTCCTGAATAATTACTTATTAATTACAAATTTTATGATTTGCAATAATAAATAACTTGACTTAGCCTAATATAATAACAATGCCAATTTTGTGTGTTTCGCCATATGTATGTACCAACCCAATTTTATTTGAAGAACCCAAAGGAAAGTTTAGCGAAGTAAAAGGGTTTGGCATTGTATACATTTAAATAATTTTGTAAAATTTTATAACCAACCTCATTGTGGTCTTTTTATCAGGTGTCATCTTGCAGAATTTCAAAAATAAGACAATACAACTTGTGTTTCAGGTTGAACATAACTCCAGTGAGTGGCACACCCGGTCGTCCGGCTAATGTGTCCGGTCGTTTGACGCCAGGCCGGCGCGGCACACCTAGTATGGCGAGGGGAGGAGCCAAGCGCAAACGTACAATCCTGGAGGACAGTGAAACCTCTAGTCTACAAGACTACACCATCACCTCCAGCTACAAAACAGATCTAGAGGTGGTGGATGTGGACCCTACTGGCAAGTTCATCAAATTGCACAACAAGGGAGCCAAGGTAACATACCATTGTCATTCAGCAAAAAAAAAAAAAAAAAAACAACGTTTGCTATAGACATTGTGACAGATTCATGATCTTGCATAGATAAATTTTTTACATCAGATTGATTGACCAACACATCACAAGAAAAATAAGAAAATAAATGAAATATTTAAAATTAGAGTAGCCGTGTTGACTCAACTTTAAAATTTGTAAACGTATACAACGTATAAAATTGAATGATTCAATTCAATTGTACAACCTTTATGAAACGTTTTCTGAAGTTACGTCTGAAAAGTTAATTGTACCTTGTTAATTGAATTAGAGAACCCATAACTTAACCCAGTGTTACCACGACCTGCAAGCTTACAATTTGTTACCTTGTTCCCTTAACCTCAAAAATCTGACACTGATAATTAAAATACAGCTGAAGCAAATTTATTGTATGAAAACATAAAATTTAAATATTTCTATAACAAAGTCACTCCGATCATAATCAAATGAAATGCTTAACTCATGTCCCAAAGTGTAACCTGAGCAAAGCAGTTGTTTTAAGGCTGTACATAAGATATTACAATATTGTCAACAGTTTTGAGTGGTAGATCTCCCACTTTTGTATCAAAAATGACTTTCATTGTAAAATTTAATAAAAAAGTACACTGAAATCCATGGTGATGGTTTTCGGCTAGTCTCAGCCTAGCCACTGAGGATGCCACTTCATAGTAAGGGCGAAACGTCTGGCAGTGAAATACAACTGACGACGCCGTTGACACCGAAAACCATCACCATGGATTTCAATGACAACGGCCGTGAAAGCCTACGCATAAGATAAAAAAGTACACTGCTGCTTTTCTCACAATTTTTGCCATGACATCGGCCTGATGACTCTTGATTGTTAAGTTTGAAATATGTTACACAGGAGGTGCTGGTGGGCAAGTGGCAGGTGATCGCTCGTACGTTCGATGGAGCTCAGAGCAGCTTCAAGTTCCGAGCCAACAGCAAAGTGAAGGCTGGAGAGGAGGTGACTATCTGGTCATCAGACTCTGGCCGAGACCACGAGCCTCCCCACCACCACGTCATGGCCGAGCAGTCCTGGACAGTGTCCGACCAGATGACCCTTCAGATCATCAACGGCAATGAGGAGGTAAATCACCCATGTCAATTCTAGAATAAACACCACATAGCGCAAGCTGTGTTACAAGACAAGAAGTTTTGAGGTTGGAGTTTGGAGACAGTTTGTTTAGCACGTCTGCACTAAGTATTTCAGCTAAACTTAGTAACAATTTTTGTATATTTTGACTACAGTTGCTTTTATACAGTTGGATATTGCCTAAAAGTTGTAGACCTAGGCTTCATTTAAGTTTGGTTGAATGACACAAGATGGATTCAGATGAAGAAGACGATTTAGGCCTAAATGTGCCTTCAACATCATCACAAGAATTCAAAAATAAGTAAAGGAGTTTAGTTTGGGATTTTTTTGTCAAAAAGGGCTCTATTGCAGAATGCAACACGTGTAAAAAGTCCTTAAAAGTAGGTTAAAAGTTAATAATTATACATTTCCTATGTAACTTAATAAACTCATTCTAAAAATGCCTAAGTTTAAGTTAGCCTACATTAAGCTAAAAGGGGCTTTATTATTTCAATCGAAGATTTAAACTAGGTACTGTAAATGGTTAAAAATAGAGCCTAGGTTCTTGTACCTTCAAACCTAGTTGTCCAGTCATGAGATTAGGCTATGTTAAGTTATGACAACAAGTTTTATTTTAGGCATACCTTTTTAAAGTTTATGTTCTAAAACATAAACATAGGGCTGACAGTAAGTTGTAGGCCTAAATCCCTACTTAGTAAAAGAAAACAATGTGCGTTTTTATGTGGTTATAATGATTATCACTACCCAATTGGTTGAATGTGTTTAACAAAATTTGTTATTGGTAGTGCTTTATAATTTTGACTAATAAAACTTGGTTCAGGTTTGTACCTTTACTTATTATCTAAGTTCAGTTACCTATTGAATTAAACTAGGCCTAAATTAAATAAACAAAAGATACATTTACAATCTACACTTATTCTGAAAAAAATATACCAACAGTTTTAGTAACTTAATTAAGTTATTGAGAGTTGACTTGACATTGATTTCAAGTTTTCACTATTTGAGGGTTAGTATTCGGTTAAAAAATGTTCACTAGGCCTTTCGAAAAAATTCGAATTAGATTCGAAATTCTCTATTCGATTCAAAAAGAAAAAGTAGTATTCGCACACCCCTATACATTATACCTCACCTTTGGGGAATTTATTGAGAAGTGGGGGATTAAGGTCTCTAAGCGTTTCAAGGATGAATTTTAAAACACCCCAACTAGTTGATGTCCTAAAAGGTCATCCATGTCTGAGCACCTACAAATGTCTGCAAGACCATTTAGCTGATTGCCCAATATTGTCCTACTTACCTTATTGAACTCCTTCTAGTCCAATGACTGCCAGTCTCCTCTAATCTTCCGCATCTCCAAAGCTTGTTGTTCTTGACCAAGAGAAGGCGGCCATCCTACCTCAGAGTAGGTTAACAGTCCTTGGAGCATAGACACAATTACAAAACTACAAAGAGAATTTCTAATATCATTGTACCCTGGATATTTCAATAACAATTCATTTGGTGAGATGGTAAATAACCCTTCAACGACTGTTAGAAATTAACATTGCTCTTATGGCAGGGATATCCAAGACGGCCGTCTGCTTCTGACTCCCTTGGAAAACAGTTATAAAACCTTCTAGAAAATTTCTGATCTCATAGCGCCCTAAATATTCAAAGTACATTCACTTTGGTAGTTGAACAATATTTTGGTAGGGTAAATAATTCTTTAGCAGCTGTTTGAAATTAATACAAAATAGTCCCTAGCCTCCACAGGGACTGTTGGGAATCAGTCGTCCACAAAGCCAAGGTAAAACAAATCTCTTATTAAAACAAAGTATAAAGTGATTTGAGGCTGCACAAAAATGAGATCTAATACAAGATTTGGCTGGATAAACATTATTGTTGTTGTTTGTTGCAGGAGGTTGGGTTGTTGGAGAGAAAGAGAACTCAGTTGTCCTCATCAGTCAGCAGAACACGTCAGGCCGGAGGAGAACTGTACCACCAAGAGGTAGGTCAGAACATCTAACAGCTGTCAGGACAAAAACCTTATAGTTTCACATTACAGGAATTTTAGGAAATAGCTTCATATGTTATTTGGGAATAAGAGAAAACCAGTACATTTTTTAGTATCATAATCTATTTTTGTGTCAGATAGTTGAGTAAAAAACGCATATTTTAGTTTTATATTGCACTAGCTGTACCCGCGGGCTTCGCCCCGTTTAACTTCATAAGCATTCGCATGGCTCATTCACGTCCTGGTTGAAGTTCGTTCGCTACGCTCACTCACCTTTAGGTTGGAGCTCGTTCGCTGCGCTCACTTGCCTTCAGGTTTGCTCGTTCGCTACGCTAACTCGCCTCCAGGTTGAAGTTCGTTCGCTACGCTCACTTACCTTTTGGTTGCAAATTAGCTATTGTCATAAATTAAAAAAAAATAATAGTGCTGCACCCTGTTGGTAATCCTTGTAACTTTTATGCTATTAAAGATCATAGAACAGAACCAACTTGTTTAATTGAAACAGCTGTTAAGATTCATTAATTCCTTTTAAATATGAAAAATCATAAGATTAACATGGGGAACTACAGAGCCACTGGGGCGGAGCCCGAAAGGGTTTTTGAGATAAGAATATGCTTTAATGTTAATCGGGAATGTGAGCTATCATCATGCCAAATTTCAGTCCAATCCGTCCAGTAGTTTATGCGTGATTGAGCAACACACACACAAACACACACACAAACATACACACAAACATACACACAAACTCACAAACTTTCAGATTTATAATATTAGTAAGATAGTCTAATAACTTCTTGATGCATGTTATTATTTTGTCTACGTAAAGAAAGCAGAATTCAAAACTCTATAAGGAAATATTAGTTGTTATCCGATTGATTTGAATAACAAGTCTGTACTGAAATGAGCTTTAGTTGAATAAAAGAAAATCATTATTTTTACATTTAATCCAGTAAATTTGTATTTAAATTTACTCATAGCAAGAAAGTTTTGGGGTAGTTTTGATTTTTTCCAATTCTTATGTATTTTGGGGTGCTGAATCCGAATCTGAGGTTTGCCAACAAAAATTCTTGATGCAACATTGACAAAAATGAGAAAAATATGGAAAAAATGATATTTTTTTTAGTATTTGGCTTATAACTCAGAAACTATCAACTTTTCGTAAAGAGTCTATATTGTAAAAATTAAAGTACACAAAATTTGCTACAAAATGTACCCCTAATGTGGTAATCTCCGATGAACCGTTTAGGCTACAGAGCTATTTGAAAATTGGAACATTTTGTGTTAGTTTTTAAATTTCTCAAATTATTCTGTCAATGTCATATATTCATTGTATATGCCCAGGCAAAGGTCTTATATAAATCCAAAGTATTAAAATTGATTAATTTTGTGTTACTGAACCGCTGATATTTTATTTAGTGTACAGAAGAGTTACACGAACTGTTGCCGTTTAAATTATCCTCGCTCAGAGGGTTGTAATGAGGCAGGTTCTGGCAAACGTTTTGATGCATCATTTGTGAGCGTTCTAGCTTGTTCATCTGGACAATAAAAAAGGTTAAAAGTAAAAAAAAAATGTTCTACACATAATAATAAGTAATATCAAAATTAAAATAACAGCAATCTGTTAATCATGTAATATACGTATGCACCTGATGACGTGTTATTAAAATATACGGAAATAAAAAAAAAATGCTATGTAGGCATATACTGTTGCTAATCATTTACAGTTAGAGTTTACATTTACATTCGGGATGAATGAATGGGGGTAAAAAAATTACTATCGGCCTATGGTAACAGTGCCCATCACTCATTTGTGAGCGTTCTAGCTTGTTCATCTGGATAATAAAATACCCCCGCCGCAGCAAACCTGAAGACTAAGCGAATTTCCATTTCCCTGAATGGATTTACACTAAAATGTCTCCTTAAAAATATCACATTTATTCCCTATTTAAATAGAATCAGTTTAAAACATACTTAGGTTTGCTGCAACAGGGAGGGTAAAAGTGTTTTTATGTAAAATGTTAATAGTTGGTAAGAAATAAAAACATTTTCCAAATTTGAGCAAAATATGTTAATAAACAAGCAAACTACAACAGTTTAATTATTTTCCATAAGAATAACATGGAAATTTTAAATTTACAATTTTTTAGAATTTTCTCCGTATCCATTAGGTGCATTATATCGCTTCAATATACTTAATTATTTGTATTTTTAAGCTCTACAAAATAGTTTAGAAAGAAATTGCAAAATTTTATGTTTTTTTGGTCAAAAATGTGAAAAACCCATTTTTACCCCATAAAAGCCCCCATAAACCCCCGTTCCCATGGTCCGATCATGCTGGTTCGCGAACTCGTTTGAATAAATGTAGGTTTACACGTTTGTACCAAATTTCATCAAAATCTGATCATTTTTGCTCGAGTTATCGCGCTAACGGACATATATATATATATATATATATATATATATATATATGAATTTAAAGGGATGGTGTTTTTGGCCTATAGGGACCTCAAAACGAAAAAAAATCGGTCCCGGGTCCAGGTCTTACCATGAGTACTACGGTAATAGCTTATTCCCTATATGGGAAATTCGCTAAAAAGGTTAAAAGTAAAAAAAATTGTTCTACACATAATAATAAGTAATATCAAAATTGATGAATGGCTTGGTAGAGTGGTTGGCACTGTTACCATAGGCCGATACTAATTTGTTTACCCCCATTCATTCATTCCGAATGTAAATGTAAACTCTAACTGTAAATGCTTAGCAACAGTATATGCCTACATAGCATTTTTTTCCGTATATTTTAATAACACGTCATCAGGTGCATACGTATATTACATGATTAACAGATTGCTGTTATTTTAATTTTGATATTACTTATTATTATGTGTAGAACAATTTGTTTTTACTTTTAACCATTTTTTTATTGTCCAGATGAACAAGCTAGAACGCTCACAAAAGATGCATCAAAACGTTTGCAGAACCTGCCTCATTACAACCCTCTGAGCAAGGATAATTTAAACGGCAACAGTTCGTGTAACTTTTCTGTACAATAAATAAAATATCAGCGGTTCATTAACACAAAATTAATCAATTTTAACACTTTGTATTTATATAAGACCTTTGCTTGGGGAAAAGTTGATAGTTTCTGAGTTATAAGCCAAATATTACAAAAAATATAATTTTTTCCATATTTTTCTCATTTTTTTCAATGTTGCGTCAAGAATTTTTGTTGGCAAACCTCAGATTCGGATTCAGCACCCCAAAATACATAAGAAATGGAAAAAATCAAAACTACCCCAAAACTTTCCTGGTAAAAACACTAGGCCTAATTAACTGAATTAATTGTTTGGGAATATTTTCTACTTTTAAAGTCCGAAGCCACTTGGCGTTATAAAGATAATAATAACCCCACCTTGTATTTATAAGCTAGAGTCATAGTACCGCCTTGTAGAATTATTTATGCAATGACAAGCATCATACAAGACAAATCATAATTATAATTAAAAAAGCTCATACGGATCCATTTTAAAAATTTTACAGATGTTCACAGCCTCCCAAACAATCAGCTCCAAAAGAAAATATTATTTAGAAATCCTTATTACAGTATATAATTTTTTCAATATTGTGGTAGCAGATAAGTTTTTTTAAAGCTTACTGTTCTACCAAAGTGCAAGACTTTTTTAAGAACAAGACCAATTATAATTTTCCCCATAATGAAGTAGACATGGAAAGCATGGCCGATTTACCGAATATGCACAGTAGGCATGTGCCTAGGGCGCGAGGCAATTTGCTTTTTCGGGGGGCGCAAAGATTTGGGAAATAAAAAAATTGGTGGTTGTATTTGCATGCGATTGCTGTAAACTTCTGATAATTCTTCGCGGCCGTGTAGACATCGTAATCGTCTTCCGCGTTTGCGGCAAAATTCTTACTATTTTCCGCGGTCGGGTCGTTTAGACATAATTATCGTCTTCCATGATCGAATCAAAATATGAACATATCCCGCGGTCGTGAGGAGATTATCATCGTCTACCGCGAATGAGGCAAAATTCTGATCTTTTCCCACGGTCGTGAGGACATTATCCTTTTCTTTCGAGACCGTGTTCAAATTCTGACCTTCTCTCGCAGCCATGAAGACATCATTATATCATCCCCCGCAGTCGTGTGGACAATGGACATAGTAATTGCCTCCCGCGATTGTTGCAAAATGGCAATCATATCCCTCGGTCTTGTGGAGATCATCACCCTCTTCCCCAAATTTGGCAAAATTCTGAATTTTTCCCGCGATCGTGTGGCCATTATCATTGTCTTGCGTGATCGCGATAAAATTCTGATCACCTCTTGCGGCCGTGAAGACATCATTATGTCGTCCCCCGCGGTCGTTTGGACATTATCATCGTCTTCCGTGATCATGGCAATATTCTGACCATCCCTCACGGCTCTGTAGTTTTCATCATCGTCTTCTGCGATCCCGGAAAATTCTGATCATCTCTCGTGGCCGTACATATTATCGTCCCGTGGTCACGGAAACGTCACTGTTGTCATACGCGACCACAGTAAATTGAAAACCCCAGGTGGAAATACAAAATTCACACACAGTGGCAGTCTCGGGGGGGGGGGGGGGGGGTATACCTTACCTGAAATATTTTATATTTTATTAGCTAACATAAATACTATCAGCTTGAGCATATTTTAGAGCTCAAGATACTATAAAAATACGTTTTTAGACTAAATTCCATACACCCCAGACCCCCCCCCCCCCCCCGGTGGTCATCCCCCTCCCGAAATGAAATCCTGGGATCGCCACTGTCACACTTAATTCCCGGATCAAAAACCTCCCGCATGATTCCCGGATTTCCCGGTTGGTGGACACCCAATATATTGCAAAGGGGCGCTTCTATTAGTAAGTTCTAGTAGTTCTAGTAGTAGTAGTATTAGTTCTATTAGTGTGCCTAGGGTGCTGACAGGGTCAAAAACGGGCCTGATGGAAAGGGTTGTATTTTTGTGTCACTAATTGGCATATTTTTGTTTCAGGGTGATGGAGAGGGCTCAGAGCGGTGTGCTATTATGTAAACACTGAAATTCTTCTAAATCCTACAAACTAGTGTATATTATCGTGAACATAAATCATAAGTTACTTAGACAGATGAACTCAAAAACACGAATGAAGAATTTGTTATGAGACAATTTGTATTTCATTGACAATGAAAGTGCTAACTAATATAGTGTATTGGATAATATTTCAAACTGGATACTTTTTTTGTGCGATTGAGGACCTAATTAATTTTCTACAACCATGATTTATGTTCACTATAATTTGTTCGCAACACTTACATGTTGTTTTTTTTCTGTTTAATCCCTTAGGATTTACTTAACGTTAAGATAAGAGGTTGATGTATTGCGTCTCACTTGGATCCTAATTTTCAATTTTCCCTGTTAACTCAACCGGTGTACATGTTTTCATAGTTTTCTTTATTTTTTTAAAATTAAATTTTACATTTCTCTGTCAAAGGGAATTTATTTTTGATTTTGTGTTTTTTGTATACATGTATCGAGTTAAGATTAAGTTATACATTCTTTTAGGGAATCTTGTTTTTTTATGAATCTATTTTCCGAACTGCATTACAGAATTTGGTTTACACAAGCTTTTCTATGTTGTAGTTTGTTAGGTTGTAGGTTCATATAGGTTATTTATATTTCAATATTTTATATTAAGCTATAGACATGTTATTTAGTCATTTTGAACTGTTAACCAGACTATTGTAAGTTTTGATTGTGTAGGTCAGGTGTCAACAGAGGTTTAGATTGTTTTTATTCGGTTTGGATTCAATAAGACTGAAGGTGAACTTTTCTAAAGTGCCTTTATGTAAAATTTATTTATTCACTATTAAGTATAGGTTTGTAGAATATAACTACCACTGTTGTTATTTATGGTTTCATGTTAAAGTATTCGTCATGTTAACAGTTGAATTGAAGTTTGAGTCACAGTTGTGTGAGATTGGCGGAGAGAGTTTTTGATGTGTTTAATTCCTAAGTCATTATACAAGAAACATTGTTGTGCAATGTGAATGGTATGTTGTAATTTATTTTTGCTATGTAAACCCCCCTTGACACCTTACGGGGACTAATGTTAGCACCTCTTAGTCCTACTTCTTGCATAGTTATGATCACATTTTGTCAACTGTTCGTCACTAATACATAATATTCATAAATGCATTTTTACTTCTATTTATAAGTGGAACAAGCAAAAATAAATGTTGAAGTACATGTTGCTTGGTTTATTTTATAATCCTGATTACTTTTGTGTTTAATTTTTTACATCAAGAGTATTTATAAGTGTCCTTTACGACAAAAGTGGGTAAGTAGTATTCATTGGCAGATTGTACCAGGGACAAGCCAGTGGTACTGTGGGCACCCAGCCAGGAGAAAAAGATGGGTAAGCTTTAAGTTAATTATTTTAATGAAGACCAGAAACTCGGGTTTAGTACAATTTCTTAATCTAGCCACAAATAAGCAAGATGCAGAAGATACACTCCACACTTAAGTGGTGTCTAGCGCTAGTGCTGGTGTCTAGGGCAAATTCCAACACCACCACTTTGCCTACAATACTCATGGTGGAGGAGGACCTCATGCCCTGTGTGATAAGAATCTCCGCACAGTGCTTATTATTCGGGCTGCGGCACAAGAGACCAGAGCTGAAAACACACGGTTGTCCCATAAGGATGTTTCCTCTATCTTACTTCTCTGTGATCTTCCATTACATCCTTGAGTTGCTTAAATATGCTACGGGTCAGATGTAGATTTGTTATAGTTTAGTAGATTAACAGGAATAGCTTTTAATTAAGATACAAAAACTAATGAAATAAAATATACATTTTGATTACCACATTTAAAACAATCCTGTTCCAAAATGCTGGCATTGAGATCGGTTTCTATGATTATCAATCAGTTCTCTGACAGTTACACACACTTGTGCATATTTTAAGTTGAAGAGGATAGAATCATAGACAAAAAGAATTAAATATAGACTGCCAGCTGCTGTGCTGTGTTTACCATGGCTACACACTGCTAGGAGCGCCATGTAGTTACGTAGCGCGTAGGCTGTAACTACATGGCGCTCCCAGTAGTGTGCGCCAGAACCTATGGTAACCGCAGCACAGCTGATGGTCTATATTTAGTTCTTTTTGTCTACGATAGAATGGAGTAAAATTACCTGTAGCTTCATTACTGATAACAACCACTAAACAAACAGCTGTTTATTGAGATAAAATAAATAATTGCTTTTACAGTATTCGGAGCGTTTGCAACATTTTAAAAGAGCTGGTTTCAAAACCTTTCGATCAAATAGGATGTTAATATAATGGTTCCACCAGGAGGATTATCAATAGAATGGTTGGGTTTTACGCTATGGTTTTACACATATTAAAACAACTTTGTCTCCTTGTGGACCATAGTGGTGATCATGTTTCTATTCAACAATACTTCTTGAGAAAGTAGTAGACAGGTCGGTAGTTGTTGGTCATAAGTCAAACATTTTCCATACACATGAGTGTGTATAACCTAAATTTTGTTCGTGTTTGGTTTATAAGGACGGCTGGCCCGATTTTAATGATTTTTGATTCGTTGGATTCGTCTTTGTATAGATAACATATTCAGTTTTACATTTGGCTTAGCCTTACTGGCCTGTAAAGTTTGTTTGTAAAGCTTATGGAGCTATTGGAAGAATGTAAATAAACAAATATATTAATTTAAGTCAGCTGTAAATACTTTAATTTGACAGTTGAAAGAGCAGAGGTACAGGTTCTGCTCGCTGAATTTTTATTTCAGGTTTAGTGTTGCCTACAGTATTATTTTGAGGCTTCTGATTGGCTGAGGGAACATCATTACCGCAACGATACGGATTGATGCCAACAGCCTCGGTGGTGTAGTGGATAGAATGCTAGGCTGATAATCCGAAGGACCTTGGTTCGAATCCCATCCGTAGCACTATTTTTTGTATTGGACTTGTTCATTATCATCACCTTTGGTTGGTTTGGTTAGGTTATGATGGTTTGACCCATTTATAGTTTTATTTTATGAAAAGAAACATATTTTCGAATAAAACCTTCATTCGATTTTTCATTATCAGCAAGTCTGGTTAGTTTGGTTAGGTTATAATAGTTTAATTTTATAATTAAAAAAATATAAAATAGGATTTGAGGCATTTATAATTTTATTTTATGAACACAACTATTTTTTTCGATTAATAAACCTTCATTAGATTTTTTCATTGTCAGCACGTTTGGTTGGTTTGGTTAGGTTATGACGATTTAATTTCACTATAAAAAAATATAAAATTGAATTTGAGACATTTATAATGTTATTCTATGAACAAAACTAATTTTTCAATTAGTAAACCTATATTATAGTCAATCAGAAGCCTCTAAATGACACTGTTGGCAAAATAAATCCTGAAAAACAAATTGTGCGTTCTGCTCCCAAGATTCTTAACCCTTCCAGGGCTATTGACGGATCGTCAATCTTTGTTTACTTTCCGGGCTGAAAACGGATCCGTCCTGAGAAATTTCTTTTCTGGGATAAAGACGGATATATCCATCCAAAAAAACTAATTGATATCCAATGTTTATAATACAGTAATAAACATTACACTGCATTATAAATGGGTTATTTGGTTTTTGTGGTTGACAATAATAATTGCCGCAGCTGTTTCAGCTATTTTGCACCATAAGAGTGTGCATAAGTAAATATTGCTGTCACTTCACACATGGTTGTTAGTGAGTGATGTTTACATTTTGTGTTTTGTACTTTATTTTTATGTTATTGAGCTAAAGTTATTAATGCAAACGATCTGAAATTTGAAGAGATTATTGTGATACTTAATAAAAGTATGTCTGAGAGGGGTTTTATACTTGGCAGTGAAAATAATAGTATGGAATGTGATGGATATGATGAACCATGAACCTGAAGAACAGTCTTTTACGTAGTGGAAGTCTTGGCGGGGAATGGGATTGAGGACATGGGAGCGGAACTCAAACTGAGAGGTTTAGATTTACTTCAGAATGTTAGAAAAATTTTTATGGATAAAAAATAAAGCAAGGGAAGGAATAGCCTAAGGTTGACTGATATATCCATCTGCTGCCCACAAGAATACTCAAGATTATTGGCAGTGTTCATATTTTGTGAGTATCACTGCTGAGGGCGGCAGACGGATATATCCATCCACCATATGTTTTTGTGGGCCAAAGACGGATATATCCGATAAATCAAATTTTATTTTCTTCATAACTTTTTTACAAAATTTAGTTCAGCCCTAAAGAAAATCAAGTTATGATCAATGAATTATTTCAAGTGAAATAAATACAAAACACAACAATTTAGTTTTAATTTTTGGCAACAAATAATGAAGCTCCAGTCCTTCATTTAATTTATTCCTGGAAGGGTTAAGTTTTATGATAATGAGAATACAGTAGGTTACTTCCACCATGGGTTTATTGGTATATTTTTTATGGAAACAGAAGGATCATTACAATGTATAAATGCTTTATAATTATTTTGGTACCGGTAGCTATTTGTTAACAAATTTGAACTGATTAACACCTTCATATTTGGATTAAAATTTTAACTAGATGATTGTTTTTAAAACTAAACGAAAAAAAATATATTTTTAAGCATTTAGGTGACTATTGACACTATTATTTGTTTTCATTCAATTTACAATCTAAATTTCAATTATACTACCATTTTTTTGGCCATGTAGCCCATACTTATTTACTCAGGATACTGTACTAAAAATATTCAAGTCTACTCTTCGAATGCTATTGAAAAATCTAAAGCCTTTTTTAACTGAATTTCATGAGTGGTTTCGATTGATTGCTGTGATGGTGAAATACTTAATTTCACATAAGTTTCACTTCACATTACCGTAGTTTTTCACATTTAGAGCAAAGGTGTTGTGTTTTTCTACAACACTGCTTTAATTATACTATGGAGAATATTACAAAACTAAGCTGTACGTAATCCACTTTTGCTTCTAAAATCAATTTAATATTTGTAACTATATTCCTTAACTCGATGGTTAGTGTGTAAATTAATGTAAATACAATGACCTAAAGAACGAGTAAAAATAAGAACTGGTATGTATTATACCAGTTGTTGATTTCTTATTATACTTTTCTTTTTTTACTCATTATTAATTATTATTCTTATTATTATAATTTGTGTAGTATTATACAAATTTGATAAAATTTGTGCCCTGATTTATGAGAATAGGGGTTGGCTTTCTTAAAATATGTAATACAAGTTTTCGTTATTTTATTTTTGCTTACTGTGATATTTACATAATGAGCCCTGCAGGTAATGAATGATTCCTGACAAAAATTCAGTAGGTAGGGTACAACATAGGCCTATCTATTTGATGTGAAATCATTATAAATTGTTTTTTGATTTAATACAGTACCCTATGTTGTTCAATTATTTTTACCCATCAACTTTTAATATGTACGTTTTTCAAGTAACTAAACTTTTAAGTAAGTGTATCGTTTGAAAATAAAATCGTACGTTACAGAATTTTCATACACGAATCAGCCTATTATATAATTTTTACTAGGAAGAGCCTTATAAGTTAGCCTAGCTTGAAAGAATAGTTATTTGTGCAACTAGTGAGAAAAGTGAGCAATTGACTCACTCGAGAGAAATCCTTACTCACGAGCCGTAGGCGAGTGAGGAATGGTTTCTCGAGTGAGGCAATTGTACTTTGAACTCGAGTTGCACATTATACTTTTCCTACAGTTACCATAAAACAAATAAATTTGTGAAGAAACATAACCTTTTTTTACACAGAAGTGAACTTTTAATATAACATTTAATGTGAAGTGACAAATACAACAGTACAACAGCTGACCAGCTGATTTACAGCCAGTGCTGCCAAAGTATTTCGCGCGCATACGACGTTGCCTGCATGTTACGCGCTCACTATTTCGTGCCTTCACGTTGCAAATCTGGAGTGAGACAATGTTAACATTGTCTCACTGATGAGCGAATTAACCACTTTGCTTTCTCAAATCAGTGAGAGAACATGTACATTGTTAGGTAACTGTAGGAAAAGATATTTTTACAAACTAAGAGGTCCAATGTCATTTTGTTCCTGCAATCAAAGGTGGATGTCTCTTTTATTCAACAGATTTAAACATCAATATTTTCTCTTCAGTGTCCTCTCCGTTGAAAAGCAGGAGTACAGTAGCTAGTTTGTTAATAAACAAAACATTTTT